CATGTTTATTCAGAGAAAGTACGTTTTTGTGTCTGATCCCCGCTTCAAAGGAATAGTTAGCACTAATTAATTAGCATATTTGAGGTCACCCCCAGGAACCATTAAGATTGACACTTAAATCGTGAAAATCCGATCATTAGAACAAAAGTTATTCAGGGTCATATCTTTTTTTTTTGCCGACTGTACAAACAAACTTTATAATCGTTTAAAACATTTTTTTGATGTGATCAAAACGTTCTCGAATTAAAAGCAAAACCAATTTTTAAATTGACTCGTTCTAAGTTTTGTTCGCACAGAATTCTTAAAGCTTTCGGCTATTTAGATTTTAACTATAGTTCAAATTAAATGTAGATAAATTTCTTTTGGATTTTGATATTTATCCTATATATTTTTATTATTTATGGTATACATCATTAAGCATCGTTATTGTTGTGTCCTTTGTCTTATTTTTATTTAATTGTCTTTCCTTTTTAAATATTCACCTTTCTTTAGCTTTTATTGCAGAGAGATATATTCTGTGAATTCGAGATATCTAAATGATGTCTCATTGTAAACGAAAAATCAAATATCAGATTGCTTTTTTTTCTGAAATATTTAGCGTCATTTTCAAGTAGATAAAATCGTTTCTCGAAAAAGAGTATCAAACGTTTTTAGCTTTGATGAAATATATTTATGTATTTACACACTTTTATCTAAATGGGGAATTCGCGTGACATCGATCATTCTAAAGAAAAGACTTCTCTTAAAAAGCTATATATTTTTGTTTTATGATTCATTTTACATACCTGCCATTTTCTAAAACACTTGATGAAAAGTTCATCAATAGAAATTGAAAAACTCAAACTTTTTCGATTAAATAAACTCTTTTGTATTTCCAAAAGATAAGCTGAATTTTAAAATTGAGTTTTGTTATCATAAAAGTAACCCCACATTAAAGCATTCAGAAAATAATTTGTTCTTAAATTTTTTTCGATAGAAATGCTTAGCTAGATACACCATAGAAACTCACCTTACTACATTAAAATTTGAAATATAGTGACTCGTTTAATCATTTTGAATTGCTGACATAATTACTATTGCAATCGTATTTACAACTGGGTGTTTAGAGCTTTTAAGGATTCTGTTTGGAATTTTTGAAAAAAAAATTTTGAGTCTTTAAATATCACTAACACATTGTTAAATTTATATAAATTTCACTTTGTTTCAGATGTTATTTTCTTTTTCGACACAGGCTATCACCAAAGCTCAAAAATACAAATGCTCAAAAAAAGTGAATTTAGTTATGGGGAGACGAGAAATGTAAAATTTTTCTTTTAGTTTTATTTTAAAATATATATATATATATNATATATATAAACCAAACTATCATAAATACTTTCTGGTTTCAGCAGAATTACTAGCAAGCCATGGTGAGTATTGGCATATTTTATAGTTTGTCCAACATACATAAACCAGCTTGTGTTGTTTAAATATCTTGGTGGCAATGCAGTAATCAAACAGTAACTGCCACTTGCTTACTTTTTCAGCTTTCCTAGCAATAATTCACAAGCAACAGATGTTTTTTTGTTGCTTTTTCTAGCATTACTATTCTAGTATCAGTTGCTTTAAATTTTTGCTATTACAGAATGAGAATTCTACCATTAGTTTCTTTAAATTTCTGCTATTCTAGCCTTATTTTTCTGCCACCAGTTGTTTTCAAAATTTGTTGTTACAGCATGATCTTTCTACCATGTATTGCTTTAAAATTTTGTTATTATAATGCTGCTTTTCTACTAGCAATTTCTTTAGTTTTTTGCTATCTTAAAGTACCATGAAAATTCTACAATGTTACATCTGTAGCACTTACTGAGAGAAACGTCTTTCCATCAACGACAAATCTATCGATCAGATTTTCTGATACAATAAGCCATGCTACTTCACAAAAGAATTAATGTAGTTTTTTTCTCTCATTAATTTCAAGTGAAAACTCATATTTTCTTGAAAATTATCCTTTTAGAAATAATGAATGAATTTAAAAATAAAATAATAAACATTTTAAGAAAATATTTGTAATTTTATAACAGAACAAGAATGTACTAGTGTTTTATTAAAAAAGAGTTTGTATAATATAAGATATAGTCAAAATTTCAAAGATTTCTTTTAATGCAATGAATAAGATTTGTAAGGCATAATTCAATTCTGTAAATTGCAAGTATATAATTATATTATATCATTAGAGTGAATTTTTTCCTGCATTCATTTTCTATATAAATACAAAATAAGGGCTGTAAAAATAATGATTTATTATTTTCGTCCTATACTGTTAAATTATTATAGATAATCAAATTATCATAATTTGGATTGTTTAAACCAATCCTAGGAAGTGATGTCTTTAGGACATAAAGGTTAGTGGTAAGACTAAGTTTGGGGGATACAGTTTTGAAACCATGGTCCTTGACTCTTTTCTCATTAACAAAAATAAAATGCTACAAAACTCTTCGTATAACTAAACTTTACTGTACAATGTTCTGTCTGAAAGCATATTTTAAGTTTAACTAATTTTTTAGGACTTTAAGTAATTAACTATTTGAGCTTACCCACTCATCTTACTTAGAAAAGAAGTATGGTTAAAACTACTAAAATATGATAAAATTTGCAGTCTTTCTGATTCTATTGGAACACGAAAATGCTGTGTAATTATTACCAAAGCATTTTGCTAATGATTTTGGTAAAATAAATAATTAAATATAATTTTACAATCTGGGATAAAATTTGATAAAATTAGATAAATTTATCATGATGCCTTAGAACGTGGAGGAAAAACCATTCATTCGGTTAAATTTGCTTTTGAGTTTTGTAATTTTTTTAAACGTATGGAATTAGAATGAGAACTATAATTTATATTTAAAAACCAATATTTCCGATAAAACGTTACTATATGAACGAAAAAAATGAAAAAAATTACCCAATGAATGGTTTCAACACCGTATATTTTAGTTTAATTATCAAATTTACGATGTCATTTTTTACATTTTTTTTATTTTTTTAACAAGAAATGCCATACAGTATAGCAAATTTAAAAGAATTTCTTCTTTCCTTACATAAGATAACTTTATTATTTACTTTAAGTAATAAAAACTTTGCTTAAGACGCTTTGTTTATAGATTGGTTATATTATCATATTTACGTTAGTTAAAATATTAAGGTTTCAATAAACAAGATTAATTTACTAATGGAATCTTATAGATATTTAGTCATTAAAACTTTTATTTTCCTTAAGCCCTTTCTAGGGCAATTTCTTTTTTATAACCAAAATAAATTTGAAAAAGTTTCAACTTTTTAAATTAAGACTAAAGTATAATTTAAAATATATGACATTCATTTCAGATAGTTTCAAAGTATTTGGTAATAGCTTGGTAATAGTATTTGGTTATAAGTACTTTTTTTAACCATTTATAAAAGGTAAAAAATGCATAAAATTTACCAAAGTTCATAAAAATTCCAACTGCATGTCATATATGGATTTTTAATAAGTGTATTATAATATTATTTTTTTAAAATAAATTTTTAGTAGGTAAATTTTGTTGGCTCTAAAACGGTGCGAAAATAAGCATGCTCAGAACATTTTTTTTTACTTACTTTCTCTATATTGCAAAACATTTGGATGTTTCTCATATATCACAACACAACGAAAGCATTTTTCTTTCCTAAAATATACAAAAGTTCAAATTATTGTTAAATTAGAGTGTTATACAATAGAATGAATGTTATTTTAAGAAATGAAGTTATAAGTGATTGTTCAGAAACATTTACAATACAATTAAAAAATGTCATAATCTGTTGTAGAACATGAGAAAATCTGCATCCATACATTTAAAATAATGTCAAAAAAAAACTTGCACACAAAATAATACATATAAAAAACTCAAAATTTGAACGTATTCGGTCGTTTATGGGCAATTAAGTTTTCCATATATGATCTGTTTCTCAAAAATTATATTCTACCGATATTATACAAATTTTGCATTTTTCATTTCAGTTAAAATTTGCTTCTCACAATTCAGATTATCTTTTCTTACTTTTTTTTGGAAAGAATGATAAAAATTTTTTAAAAAAAACTTTCAGTGGAATTAACTTTGAATAATTGAAATTAAAATTTTTGTGCATTTTTTTTGATTTACTTCAAATGTTATGTATGGCAAGATATGGTAAAATACGCAAAGGAAAAAAAAACATTAAGGAGCCTAAATTTTTGACTGCTTTGTTTAATAAACTATTTTGACCATATTTTTGAGATTGCAATTACCTTTTTCTCTTTTTACGTCTTAAGAATTCGAATCCGTCGATAAATAAATGTACGTTTATTCAGAGAAAGTATGGAAAGTTGGTGCTTAATTTCGTGCTTTTAAATATCGTCTGCTCTAAGTAAGTATTCCAGTGTAACTATTAAGATTAAGTCTTAAAGTCAATGAGAAAGCAAGTGGTATGAAAGAGGCGTTTGAGAGGCAGATTCCAATACCTTTTCATGCGCACATCACCTCTGTGCGTCTTAATGCACAAGTACAAGAATTCACACATGCATGCCTCTTTCTTATTGCTTGTTTTCTCAGTATGTGCGTTGCCTAAGTTTCTGAAAATACATTCATTACATCAAAAGTTATTCAAGCTTTCCCCCTTTTTCGAACGCTGAATATCTTTGATACATGTTTGAAATTGAAAGTCAGGAAAATATTGCGAACACCTGTCATGTATGAAATAGTTTTTGAGGAATATTTTTCCTCACTTTAAATTATTGTTTTAAATTTTAACGAAATGATGTTGTATTTAGCCATATAAATTTAACATGTAATAAAAAAATAAGTTTACTTCCCCGCATTAAAAATTTGTATCCCTTATGTTTCAGATATTGAAGAATTTAGTTTTGATAATATTTTGCTTTTTATTTTTTTCAGCGTATTAAAAGTTTTGAATTAATTTGTTTCATAAAGTTTTACGACCTTTATTAGATGCAGAAAAGGGCTTAATCTCAACACTTTCTTTCACTTTAGCCGTACTGTTTACGATCACGTTTATTTTTTAACGCTATATTACCTTGTTTCATTGCTACTTTGTTGCTACTTTTAGTCCTTAACTATATTTTATATCTCTGAGCCTTTGAGCGTGGCTGATAAAAATATAAAAAAGTCCTTAACTATATTGTGCGATATATTCTTCACAAAATTGAAGATACTTATTATGCTAAGTATATAATAACACTTAATGTATGCAGGATTCTGTTAGTGTTTTTGGAAACATTGAATATTTATAGGAAGGTAAAAAAAGATTCGGTATTTTAAGTAAAAATAAAAAATCGAAAACTTTTTTTTGCGCAAAAAGGAAATATTTTTTGTAAAGAACAGAAATTATTTTCTTGTTTTCTTTCGTCTGAGTTTTTATGCAATATTTTTATAGATGTATCGTAACTAAAAAGTATTCTTAACTAAAAAGTATTATACTCTATTTTTTTAACTAACTTTTCTACAAACTATATTCTTTTATGTATTGTCAAGCGTCTTTAAATTCATTTTGATAAATTAAGATTCATTATGCTAATTATGTTTTTCTTATATACTATAACATAATAAACATAAAGAAATTTCAAAAGCCCCAAATTTCAACGTATGCTAAACTCCTTGAATATATTTTTTCTCTAATCATTCGCGTGTAGATAGAAATTTCCAAAGATGTAGTATTTTATAACAACTTTAAGTAAAGTTATTTCTTAATATAAAAAAGAAATCATTCTATCTATTTTTACGATTTCTGTTTTATGTTACACGGAATTTAAATCTCCAACGTATTCTTAGGGTGAAATTGAAAAAAAAATTGCTTTGTTACTTAACCATGTGCATTTCTGTAAAGAATCTTATTTTAAAACCCTTAATGTTGGAATTAAAGCATTAAATGAAATAAAATTGATTAAATAAATACTTAAGTTTGTTTCTTTTAAAATTGGAAATTGATAAAATATACAAAAAATGATGAAAATAATATGCGGAATGTTAAGATTTATACTCTGTAAGAGATGTGTACAATTTACAGAAAAATGACTGTCATCTGATGTGCCAGTATAAAACCATTTATTTCACAGAAAAAGAAAGAAAAACTTATATAATTTAAAATCAGATATCTGTTTTTTAAGCAGATAAGTGCTATTATTTCAACAAGAAACTCCATTATCTTAAGAAACAATCTCAATTATTTTAACAAACAAACTCTGTAAATTTAAACAAAAAATCTATAAAATAACTACGAAGGCCGAGAGCAGAATTCGTACTATCGATCGAAGCTGGGTTTCAAACCTGGATCATCTCATTGGGAGGTAAGCGCACTGCCCTCTAAATTACTGTTAACCTGGAGCCTTAGTATGAAGAAAACTGTTTTTATCTTAAAAGTACTTTTTATTGAAATAATATTTAAGTTAAGTTAATTTACTCAAACCTATAGAGGCCCTCCTGTATAAAAATGTCTGGTAACTATATATATAACAGAAATATAATAATCAGGTAGGGTATCAATCTATAAAACTGAATTACAGTTGAAATTATACGATGTTCCAAACCAAAAAAGAAGAAAAAAAAATGCTGAACCTAAGTATAGAAAAAAAAATCGTAAAATGGTTTGTAAAAAGGTCAGTTATCACACGGTACTCAAAACTGCACGATATAAACTAGTTTTTGGATAGGGGATTTTAATCCATTTATGATTCGGATGAAAAACAGAGAAAAACCGTTTTGATGACAAAAGTTTTAAACCGTAAAATAAACAGAGGAAGTCTGTAAAATAAACTGAAACGTTTTAAGATTTCGCTGATAATGAGTAAAAACAGAAAAATCAGTATTTTACTTAAAACAGTTTTTTTCGGTAAAAAATATGTTTTTCTTCTGCAGAATTTACAGTTACTTTTTTTCACTGTAGAATTTACTATGTTGAAGTTACAAAGAATATTAAAATGTCTATTTTTTCAGGAATACATGATCATTTTCATAAGTTTAGTGTTGTTTTGTTTCATTTAGCATCTAAACAGTTCATGCATAGAATGTTATAGTCGATCTATTTTCTAACATTTGATCTGTTTGTTTTGATTTATAACATCCACGAAAAGTATTTAAAAACGGAAAAACGATGGAGTACCAAAAATGACCAAATGACCAAGTGTAAGTTCTAGCAATCATGATTCATTCTATGATCTTGGTTGAGATATGAAGAAGAATTGAAGTAAATTTTAAAACATAAAATTTTCCTATTATATCAAATACCTTCCCAGAATTTAAAATAGTTTTTTTATGTCCGACTAAATTAAAAATGTTAAAAATGTTTGAAATATCAGTCCCCTTAAATGCGACGAGAATACGGGCGATTCATTAAGTACTTCGTTAGTGAAATATGTATTAAAATGGATGGGTTTGAGCTACAGTATGTGTAAAAGTACTATTTAACAAATAATATTATTAGCTAAAAAACATTTAATGACTTTGCATGAATTCTCAAAAAAGAAATATACTTAGGAAAATTTTATTTATTTTTAATAATATTAAATTAATATTGATTATCTTTATAGAATTTTATAATGCAGAAAGCCTTTTTGTTAGTTTTTTATTCAACAACATGATAGCTCTATTAAATTTTAAACTTCCGCGAAAAATATAAGTGCTCGAAGGAAAAAACTAGTTGACTTAGATAATTCGAAAAAAAAAAGAGGTATGTCGCCTATCTGCAGTGTTTTTTTTTCGGTTAAAAGGAATTTTATTTTTCATTTTAAGTTCTTTTTATATTGCCCTCAGGTAAAGAATACACGCATACTCATGGTAAAGAATTAGTGTCAGAAAAGCTGCCGAAAATCCTAAGGATTACATAGTCGGGTGTTCGGTAGAATCAGCTAATATGAGAAGTTTTTAAAAGACCGCAATAAGATGACGAAAAAAGAGTTTTTTCACGCTACGAAAGCAAAAATGAAGAAAAAGTAATATTAGAATTCTTTTGCCGTGAAGAAGTAAAAAAAAACGTTAAAAAAATCATACTTAGGAATAAAAGAAGAGTTTTTCCGCCTAGATTTGCATAAGTCTTGACAACTCTAAATGAATTTTGATTAATGTCCTTACAAAAGCTGGATTCAACAACTTAGTGCGTTCGGGAGGAAATATATTAAATGGAAAAGAACATTTCCAATTGCATTTATTGTCCTGGATTTCATTTCGCTATCATGAATAAAACTGCTGACGTGGTAAAATACTTTGTAATCATTCATCGTGTAAAAATATATAGAATTATATTTTTGTAAAATTGAGAATGAAAATATTATTTTTCAATTTTGGAGTCGTCAGCATTAAGTTACCTTAACAAGACAAATTTAGTAATAAAAAAGTATAAAAAAAATTCGCAAAAGGTCTTTGAATTTATTGAGCACTGGAATGTTTTTTTTATATCATTAATAGACAATAAAATTTTAAAACAAGGATTAGTTTTTACATTTTCATACTTATTTTTTAAAAGAAAGGAAGAAATGCAGATTATGCAAAATAATCAAACTACATCAAATAATTTATCGAACAAATGGAGAACAAAGCAATCAATAATACTAAAACAAACAGTTTGTGTGCGTGAGTAAGTCTTTCTTATAAATCTTGAATCGTTTGTGCTAGGTTACAAAATTTGTTCAACAGATGAA